TACAATGCCGGCCAGAATATAAACTGGTCAGCGTAGCCCAGAAGATTTCATTCTCCCGTCTCTTTAGCATTGCAGTTCAGGAGTCACAGCTGCAGCTGTCAATCAGGAGAGCTTCACACAGATCACTGCAGCCACATTTTTCATGACAGGAAATGACTTCAGAGCATTTGAGTCCTCTGAGAAGAGCAAAATATTTTCTGAGAAGTAAATTTGGACTCATTAAAGACGTTTAAAGGCAAACAAAGTTCCTAATGAGAAATGACACATCAGTGCTGCTACTTGCTAAAATTCGTCAACAAGGTGAATTTTTTATCATGTTGCAACAGTATGAACTCTGATTATCTGAGAATTGAGACCCTGTTTACTGACGTCATTGTGTACGATATGGGAGAGAAGTCAAAGTTTAAGACTTAGCTTCAACGTGAGAAACAGAAAAGGCTAAACAAACAAGCGGATAAGAGCATTATCCCAGAGAGAAATGTCCTGCAGGACATCGCTTGATGCCGTGAAACCCTCAGAGGGCATATTAACTTCACATTGTTATTTAGTAGGCTGGTTTAGCTCACAACGGCTAATGACAAAATGTTATCAAAATTGCTATTAAAAGTGGCAATTTGGTAATTGTCATGTGTGCCAGCTCTTCATAACACTAATGGGCTTTTCACGCTATGCTTAACTCTGTCTTAACGTGCAGATTATGTCCACTTTTAACCTGGAGTTAAGCAACATTTCACACTTGTAATGTAGAAAGAGGGTTTGCGCTGTTTTTAACCGTGGGTTATAAAGCACTGCTAAGCTAATTGGAGAGTTTCTTGAAAACTAGGTACGTTCACATGGACTAATTGTCAGAATCAATCCAATCCGATTTCAGATTCTGGAAGTTCTGCTATGAACCTTAAATGTGGCAGTTGATTGAAATTTCATGCGGCTCGAGCTCAGTTGATTGGATTGAGGTGTTTACATGAAGATATTTTAGTTCATTTAAGCCATCATTCTGATTATAAATGGATTATTTGGGTGTATGCAAATTTAGATACAGTGTAAATGCTTAGGGACCCAAAAATTAACTGAAGAAAAGTTGTTCCAAACCTGTACTTACTTTCTTCTGTGGATTTCAAAAGAAGATTTTTTTAATGTAAAATGTATCGAAAATGTGTTTTTGTCCATACAGTGCAATCAGTGTAGTCCAATGTTTTATTTGGATGACAAAAGTTGTTGAAATATTCTTCAAATTGTTTTTTTGTGATCCACATAAAAAAACAAGTCATAGGTGAGTAAATGATGACAGAACTTTTATTTTTGAATCATTTGATACACTAACATGGATCAAATAACCTAGCATGATGCTAACACAGGGTTGAAACGACTTTTAAATAAGTTCAATTTCAAGTGTGAAAGGTCTTTGTAAATATTTGGGCTGAAATGACTCAAGCTGCAAACATCGACTGGTGTATTAATGTGATTTAGGCTAGATCAAATCAGCAACTCATTATCTGGCTCCATGTGGCTGGTTCCTATGTTTACATTCTTTCATTTGACATTACAAAGTCGTTAGTTTGCATTCATTATTTAAGGTGTTTTCAGGGGGCAAGACTTCAAATGTGTGCCCTATTCTCTAAAGACCGTATAGTCATTTCCCATGACTCACGTCCCCTGACGCTGAAAAAATGTGCTTCTGATATTCCTCCTGCAGTTGTATCACCACATTTTACATGTCTCGCATCCGCTGGAGGTTTTGAGTGCTTTGAGAACAAGACCAACATCATTGTGTAATTATTAGTAATTACTAAGTCCAAGAGGTTTGCTTGTCTCACAGCAATAAACCGATCATTTTCCTGGTGGTCCTGTAGCTGTAGGGTTTCAGGGGTCTCTGAAGTGTGGCGGAAATTAACATGCGAGGCGTTTGTCATTGTAATTACAGACTCATTATTTTTTTCATACTCTTTCTTGCGTCCTCTATCTTTCTGATGACTTGGGGAAGATTCCATCTCCCTCAATTATTCCCATCTGGGTTCATTTTCAACACTCACGCTTCACTACCAGGGAACAGAGCGCTGGCTGTACTCTCCTCCCTCCTCCTCTCATCGCTCCTCCCTCGCTCCCTCGCTCTTTCACACCCTCCGCTGCCAGCCCGCCACCCTCGCTCACACACACTGACGACTGGACTGCCACACACACACACACACACACACACCGGCTGGCGTGCTGCTCTGCCCTGGCACCTGTCAAAAGGGAGGGTGGCACTTGGCAATGCTGCAAGTGTGTTTGAAGGGTCTTTGTGTCATGTGGTTGTGTATACTACATGCTAATTCCTGCAGCGCTAACTTAAGTGTTTATTTTCACTGTTCAGAATGCTGTATTCTGTTTAATAGCACTAGCCTACTGTTTTTTACTGTTTTTGAGAGATGTGTCTTATCTTGTCTCACCAAGACCTTTATTTGTTAAAAAAAAAATACAATAAAAAGTAATATTTTGAAATGTTATTATTATAATTTAAAATAATAGTTTAAATATATTTTAAATTTGAATTTATTCTATATTTTAAAGCTGAATTTTCAGCAGTCATTTCTTTAGTCTTCAGTGTCACATTATACCCTTTGTAAGCATCCCATCTAACAAAAATCAATTAATCAATAAAATCATAACTGTAGTCCCATCCCTTAAAACAAGCCATATATATCTTTTCAGTAATGCTTGACAAGGAAAAATTGAAACAAACAACAACACATATTTTAAACCTTGTTTATGAATCAAAATTATTATGTCAATTAAAAAACAAATGCCCATAGGTCATGTATACACCAATAAATCGTACTGTGGCACAAGCTCAAATTTCATTCGACAATCTGAAATGGAGAAGTAATTTCTTGGTCTTATTCATAAATCAGCTGAAAATCTACATTGCCACTGTCTGCTTTCAGTTTTGTTAAACAAATAGTTAAAAGAAAAACAATGATGATGAGTATTGTTCTTTCTAGCCTGAATGGACCGAAAATTAGCATTTGTGAAGTGAGCTGGATTGTCGGTTTGTCTCATTTGCAAGCAAAGAGCAAATTACATTGTTTAAGAAATCGAATACAGAGAGCCACGATATGCAGTGTGTCACTATTTGCTATGCTGACTGTGTTTGGCTTGACGTAAAATTACATCATCTTAAAAACAGTAACCTTTTTGTGTAACAAAATATTAGAATTACTACAGTTTTTGCTAGTACTGTAAAACCTTAAGAAACTAATATTGGGTCTTCTTTACACAGTTTAACACAGGGTCCTAACTATCTTGAGAACCAGCAATAAGCAATTTCCACGCTAAGTGCAAAAGTAATGAACTGAATGCACTCTATTCCTTGAAGGTTTAAAAAAAAAAAAAATTCTTATAATTTCTCAAACTTGTCCATCATATCAATTACAGATCATCTATCTCTTTCTCAAACACACTCTTTTCTCCAGCTGTGCGCTCTCTCACACTGACAGTGTTTTGATGGCTGTTGGCTGTGAACTTCTCTGAACTGCTCTATATGTGGCTGTCTCTGTACAAGCAGGATGGTGGCCGTAATTCCCTGAGCTCTGTCTAGAGTCTGTTAAGAATCTTAAATGGTCATGACTGGTTTGTTGTGCTCAGCCTTCCACAGGAGTTTTTGCTTTTGAAGCTCACCTAGTCCATCTTTTGACAGTATACAATCTGTTGCAGTGAGCTGTACAGCAAACCATGTTCAAGGAGAACCAAAAAGAGGTGCGGTCTTAATTGATGCCTGGTTATAATGAGGTTCTGAAACTTGCACACAAAAGAGGGTTTTTGGGAGGTTGCCATGGCAACAGGAGCCCCAGTGGATGGCAGAAGGGCAAAGCATATGAGGGTCTGAATTGTCACTTGAGAAAAAGTGACCAACATACTGTTTTTCAGTGGTTCAAGGTTATTACCTTGTTTCGTCAGAGATTAGAAGGCATCTTTAATTTGAGAAACAAAATAAACCTTGATAGATGGAAGTACAATCAGTGCACATGTTGATTATTTTCAAACACTGAAAATACATATGTCCCTCACAGCTTCATTTTTCCTTGTCAAATTTAACGTGTCGTCTTATCAAGAGCTATGGCTTAGACTGACTTCTGTTTCTCTATTTTAAGCTTTGTGCTGACTTGCTCTTTTCCGCCCTTTTCTCCTCCTCATTCATTTTCATGTAGACTTAAAGCTAAATCCCATTCCAGAGTCAATTTAAATGACAGTAGGTTATTCGCCCATTGGAAATCCTCAGTCACACCTCCCTCTATCTTTCTTCTTTTCTCCTCAAGCTCCTCCTTTTGTTTCCTTCTTCATCCTTATTCTTATTTTCTGCCTGCGCTTCATAATCCAGCCTCAGTCTGAGAAACTGGGACCCTTAAAAGATGCTCTACCTCCCCTCAAATGCTAGATATAGCACCACATCCTAAAAGTTTGCCCCTCTCAGTTCATGTGTGAATGATTCAGCATCCTGCTCTCTGGTTGTTTGGGGGTAAATTGAAGTCAAGAGGTCAGAGCATCTCTTCCAGCTTGTTAACCCCCATGTTCAATTTTATACATCACTGCATTGAGACACAGCGAGCTGGAACAGTCCATTACAGAGCAGACGGTCATGTGACTGGGGTGTGACCTCTGTGCAGTTCTGGGTGACACATGGGACACTTCTTCAGTGTGTTATTAGCGTACTTTGGACATTTGTGCTTATTAGAGATTATTTATGCCTTAAGATATTTTAATGATCTATTCTAATATGTAAAGCGGAGGAAAAAGACATGTTTCTCTGATGTGTTTCCTATTGAAGACGGTCTTGTTTGACTCCTCATAAATCATCTCAAGGCCCTGGAGACATGGCAGTTAACCTAAAATATTTATGTGGCAGGTCTTATTTAAATTTTTTTTATTGTATGAGATCAATCCTCCATGTCTCGTTGAGTAAAACGTTTAGGCCTAATCCTGGGAATAAGCTTGAGTTTAGCCTCTGTTTTTTATTTTTTTTCCAGGACAGTGACATCCAGAAGAAGATCGACTATGAGATCCGGATGCGTGAGGGTGCTTGTAAACTGCTGGCCGCATGTTCTCAGAGGGACCAGGCGCTGGAGGCCTCAAAGAGTCTCCTCACCTGCAACGCCCGCATCATGGCCTACATGTCAGAGCTGCAGCGCATGAAGGAGGCACAAGTCATGCAACGGGTCGCACGCAGGTCAGCGGTCACTTTCGATTCATTTAGTTCAGTTTGTGTCAACTTAACAAAGTTTGGTAAAACGAAATAGATAAATAGATTTTTGGGTGTCTCTGATGTTTGTGGTGCTTTCTAAAAGGTAAATTAGATAATAGGCCAGTTTCTTGGGGTCAGGCATGTCTGTTATACTGTCAGCACCGGTAGCAAATATTAAGTTTCATCCACTGCTAATAACTGCAGTTTGACCATCTGTTGACCAGTACTTCAGCACAGACAAAATCCAACACTTATATGCTCTCTTACTAAATATAGCATGTATTGGTTAAAGGAGGGCTAATTGGGCAGCCACAAGTGTTGAGGTCAGAAAGCAACACAACTGCAATGTTCCCAGGTCCAGAAACGTAGCAAGGACATCAGTAAAATAGTCCATGTGACATCAGGGGTTCAACCGTAATTTTACAAAGCTACGAGAATACTTTTTGTGCGCAAAGCCAAAAATAAAAGACTTTATTCAACAATTCTTCTCCTCCTCATTCCATCTACAGCGGTGCGCCGCCATTGTAGAAAGAATATCAGAACACATGTGCTTGCATCCGCTTCATATAAACAATGCATGCACGGGCTGATGCATGTGCGTATTAGGTAAGCAGCAGCGCCATGCGCATGCGTTGTTTACATGAACCAGAAGCATGCACATGCGTCGTGATACTCTCCACAATGGCGCACTGCTGCAGACGGGATGAGAAGAAGAATTGTTGAATAAAGCCGTTAATTTTGTTTTCTTTGCGCACAAAAAGTATTCTCGTAGCTTCGTAAAATTACGGTTGAACCCCTGATGTCACATGGACTATTATTTACCGATCTCCTTGCTATGTTTCTGGACCTGGGAACATTGCAATTGTGTTGCTGTCTATGGAGGGTCTGAGAGCGCTTGGATTTAATCAAAAATATCTTAATTTGTGTTCTGAAGATGAACAAAGGTCTTACGGGTTTGGAAAATGAAAATTCTGTTATTAATTACTCACCCTCATGTTGTTCCAAACCCGCAAGACCTTCGTTCATCTTTGGAACACAAATCAATTTTCATTTTTGGGTGAACTATCCCTTTAAATGGTGAAGTGTGTAATGTTTTCAAAAAATATTTTTTGTATTCCAGTTTACCATGTAGAGACAATTGTACTTAGGGCCTTTTTAGGTTAAAGAACTTGTTGTACTGTCATCTTGAACCTATGTATAGATGTCAGTACATTTGCTTTATTTATTTGAGCACACAACCTGACACAACAACATTGGCTCAACCAATATTATACATTTATTGGGGTAGGACTATCTATTTGTCTGACCACTGGCAGACAAGGGAAGTGCTCAGGACACTTCAGCGTTAATTATAACTGAATCATTTTACGCATTGTGGTTTGTATCTTATTGTTTGTGTTCAGGTCTTCTGATGCCGGTCCAATGGATGACCGATCCCCATGTAAAGGCAAAGTAGCCATTTCAGGTATGTTCACAGAAAAGAATTCAGGCAGTAATGATTAATTTATGTAATGAAAAAATATATATACAGTACTGTTCAAAATATTGGGGTCTATAAGATTTTTAAAGAACTATCACATCAGAAGTGCCATAGTAAATCAAAAGGGACAGTAGTAATATTTGTTACAAAAGATTTCTATGAAGTTTAAATAAATGCTGTTTTTCTGAACTTTTTATCCATCAAAGAATCCTGATAAAAATGTATTAGTTTCCACAAAAATATTAAGCAGCACTGCTGTTTTCAAAATTGATAATAAGAAGAAATGATTCTTGAGCACCAAATCATCATATTAGAATGATTTCTGAAGGATCGTGTGATAATAAAGACTGGAGTAATAATTGCTGCAGAAAATTCAGCTTTGCCATCACAAGAATAAATTACATTTTAAAACCATATTAAAATAGAAAACAGTTATCCTAAATTGTAATAATATTTCACAATATTACTGTTTTTACTATATTTTTGGTCAAATAAATGCAGCTTTGGTAAGCATGAGACATCCTTCAAAAACAATAAATATGTTGCTGACCCCAAACTTTTGAATGGTATATATAAACAGAGAATGTTATATATCATGTTATTCTCTGGTTTTGATTCTGTCTATTGTGCGTAAATCATGTAAACCAGTCTGTTTATATGGGTGTCTGAGCACTAAATCACACCCCTGCTGTTTTATATATCAGCGCCTGTGTCTCAGTCATCTAGGGGCTTCTTTTACGAGTCGTCCTCCCCTCCTCACTGTCTGGATCTTTTAGAGGAGCCAACCCCCCCTCTAAACACCTAGTGCTATCAACTGCACCCATGGCAATCTGTGTTTGAGACCCACAGTGAGGGGCCTAGAGGGCTGATACTCAGTAAATGCTGTAATTATGACGTCATTATGAAGAGGTTATGGAGGACCTTATACTCCTACTTCAGAATCACATGCACACTAATGTAAACCACACTCATATGCAGCCGCACAGATGGAATCAACACAATATTCTGTGTAATTCTGTGCAGTGATGAAATTAGATAAAATGTTTAATAAACCAACAAACATGGTGGGGCATTCATAATTGTATCAATGACCAGCGTTCCTGTTCTGCAGAAATATGCTGTGCTTTCTTCAGCTGCAGATTCTGTGTGGGATTCCTGCTCATGCACCATCATTCCATTTAAATGCATCAAGACTGTTTATCATGTAGTTCATCCCACGCACATACAATCTAATGTTCCCACATGCAGCCTCCGTTTTTTGTTTTTGCTGTCCATCATCTGAAGTCAGTACCATATTAATTGTTCCCTAACAACCTCTACCTATTAATTTAATGACGTTCTGTCATTATTAACAAGCCTGGTTACACAGACCTTGACAGAGGAGCTCATCCAGGTGGGCTGAAGTGATGAATGTGGTCTTGATGTGGTGGGTGGGCCAGTATGATAATGGTTTATACTGGTGATTTATACTGGCTGGCAGCATGGCATAAAATACCAGATGAGTGTTGTGAATGTATTTTTCTTTTGATTGACATGGAGTGATAGCCGGCATTGGTTGCTTGCAGCTGTGAGTGACACTGAGTGTGTGTGAGTGTTATAACCTTGTGTTTCACTCTGACCTCCAATTCCTCTGTTTTGCAGATCTACGGATACCTCTAATGTGGAAAGACACAGAGTATTTTAAGAATAAAGGAGGTAACATCTGTTTTTCCTCTTCACTCTGATATGCAGGTTAAATAACAGTGCCGGCTGTTTAGAATATATTTGATCTTAATAACCCTTTGTATAGCACGCACACAGAAAATACTGCTCAGATACATTGCGCATTCAGTATATGCATTACCGCGATAACAAAAAACACATTTATTTATGAAGCATTCAGGCCCAGCAAAACCCTCTGGGTAAACAGAATATTATTACTGGCGCTGGAAACCTTTTTCCAGACAACAGTGACTAATGTAGTTTTGCCTAAGGTGCTTAGAACAGCTGATAGAGGTGACATTATGTTGATGAATGTGACACAGGAACCCACATGCATGTGTTATTCTCTCATGGGAAAGCTTTTATGTGTGCTTTATCCTGTTAATGGCAACATATATTTTAATAGCCATCGAAATGATTAGGGCAAAAACGTTTAAGACTGGTTGTGTCACAATTATTCATGTTCTACAATTTGTACAAGGATAAAATACACGGATACTAATGTTGCCCTGAGCAGGAAAAAGCAGGACAGCACACTCTCACAGGTGCAGGAGTAAATGTTTCCTGAATGAACAGAGCTGCTCTGGGGGATTTTATAGGCACTGGGCCAAATATGCAGCTACTCTGGTGAAGACATTACAGCAGGTGTGACTTCTGAGTAGAAATCATGTTAAATGACTTTCTTTATTCTTCAGAGCTGCATCGGTGCGCTGTGTTCTGTCTGCTTCAGTTGGGTGGAGAGATCTTTGACACAGACATGGTGATGGTGGACAGGACGCTGACAGATATCTGCTTTGACAACACAATTGTCTTGTAAGTGTGCATGTTTATTTTGTCAGTTTAACTGTTTCTGGACATTATTTCCATACAAATATAGTGTTTAATCTTGGTGTGACTTCCAAAACAGCTATAGTTGGTTTGTATCAAAGTATATAAATTGTACACTGATAGATAGATTCATAGATAGATAGATAGATAGTCTTCAGTGTCACATGATCCTTTAAAAATCATTCAAATATGCTGATTTAGTGTGCAATAAACATTTCTTGTTATTATCATTGGTGAAAACAGTCGTGCTGCTTAATATTTTTGTAGAAACTGTTTTTATCAGTTTTGATTCTTTGATGAAAATAAAGTTTGAAAAGTAGTGTTGATTTAATCCAAAATTTTTGTAACATAAATGTCTTTGTCACTTGTTATCAGTGTAATGCATCCTTGCTGAACAAAATTTCTTTCAAAAAAAAAAAAAATCTTACAGACTCCAAACTTTTGAACAGTAGTATATACTGTATTTAAATAAACATTTGCACTATATTGATATTAAATGTATGTAGTAATTCAAAGTGCTTCATTCATGCTGTTTCCTGTGTGTAGTAATGAGGCCGGTCCAGGGTTCGAGCTGCGGGTGGAGCTGTATAGCTGTTGTTCAGAGGAGGACTACTCAGCAGGCAGCACACCGCGGAAGCTGGCCAGCAAGCTGAGCTCATCTCTGGGAAGGTCAGCGGGAAAGAAAATGAGGGCGGCCTTGGAGCCCGGAGCCTGCAGCCCCACTAGCAATGGAGGAGGAGCGACAATCCTGCTGCCTGTGCCCTCTGCACCGTAAGTGTGTAGAAACACACACATAAACACACTGCTGCTACGTGAATCAAAAATACTAAAAGGATTGCTTTGAACTGCGGACCAGTGATAAACGTATGTTCAATGATATAAAAATACATTACGCAGTATACAATACTGTTTAAAAGTCTGGGGTCGGTAAGATTTTTAAAAATGCTTTTAAAAGTCTCTTATTCTCACCAGGACTGCATTTATTGGATAAAAAAATACAGAAATATTTTGAAATTATATTACAATTTAAAATAACTGTTTGCTATTTTAAAATGTAATTTATTTCAGGCAAAGCTACATTTTCAGCAGCCATTAAAGGATTAGTTCACTTCCAGAATGAAAATTCTGTCATCATTTACTCACCCTCCACTTGTTCCAAACCTGTATGAGTTTCTTTCTTCTGTTGAACACAAAAGAAGATAATTTGAAAAATGTCGGTATCCAAACAGTTGATGGTTACCATTGACTTCCATAGTATTTTTTTTCCTACTATGGAAGTCAATGGTTACCATCAACTGCATATTGCTTTCTCTCATTGGGTTTTATGTGTTTATAGGGGCCCCAAATATCATCTTTTGGCTCACACAACCCTCAATGTCTCTCACGTCCAGGATAGCTTCCGCACACATGACCTCACCATCACAGGAAATGGTAAGCTGCCGAACCTTTTTTTAAAACTCAACTTTTTGTAACCAGGAACAAATTTATGTAGAAAACATGTCAAAGTACTGTGCAAAAATAGGTCATTTGATATAATAATCTGATACTTAAAGTTAAAGTAACAAAGTGAGATGCTTTGTCTGATAAACAGTTTGTAACATCCAAGTTCTGTCAACAAATGCCTTCTGGGATTTTATTTAAAGCACATTAGTTTTATGACATGCTAGTTTTCTTCACGTTGCAGGTAATCAATTGCAGACAGGCCCGCAGTGTGTGTGTTGTCGACGTCTGTCAGATTTATTGTGTTAGGGTCATGGTGTGTGAAGGGCCAATAAGAGGCGCTTATAGCCATCTTTATGTGTGAAGAGTTACTGCCGACATTCTTAAGGCCTGAGTGTGGGCTGCTTGCTCTCGCAGATGATAGTTTACTTTTTCGTAAAATATATACTAAAAATATAGGGTGCAAAACATGACGTCATTTGAGTAGCTTGTTTACTTGGGTTTTAAAATACAGTTTCTGACTTTGTAAGTCAAGCATTCTTTTTATCTTTCTCTCAGTAGTTACTGTCTCTTTGTCTCTCTGTAGAGGAGTGTTCGTACTGGCTGCCTCTGTATGGCGGTGTATGTTGTCGTCTGGCCGCTCAACCTCACTGTATGACAGAACAGATGATGAGTGGCTGTCTGAGGGTAAAGGTGTGTTGCAAACACATGCACTCACTCACTTCAATATCATTTTCTTTGGCTAATGTTCTCCTTCCTTTCTCTCAAGCTTGGAGGTGAGCCACAAGGATGGACAAATGTCTACGGTGTTTTAAAAGGAACGAATCTCTTCTGTTATCATCAAAAAGAGGACAAGGAGGCCAACGTGGAGCCTGTCTTAACTATTGGGATTAACAAAGTAAGTTCTGTCCTATTCTGGACATTTCAAGCGTGCTCATTTATGCACATGATATCAGGGTCATTTTCTGCTTTTGGAGATATCATGAGATATTTTTCTTTGAAAGCGCTCTTTCAAATGGATTGTCTCTTTTTAGAAAGATGTTTTTTGTCGGAATGTTTCTCATTGTGTCAGTAGTTATGAAAAGATGTTTTGTTTGCCATGCACGGGGTCTGGATCTTTCAGTGCCCCTAGAGAGCTGCATGTCATGAGCACAAAGAAGCTTGTTTTAACATCTGAGAGCTGCACTGTGAGTCTGCACATTCCTCAGCTCTCAGGTGACTGCTTTGCACTACACTTACTTTACTTGTGCTCTGCTGCCACCTACTGGTTAGAACTGAGATTACTATTTAATTCGGCAAAATATGTGCAAAAGCTTTGGCTGCAGGCATTGCTATTACATACTATAACTGTGAATTCAAACAAGAATTTAATGGATAACTGTGTAGCTAAAAATGTTTTAAAAGAAAAATTTGAAAGTGAAAAACTAACATTTTACACTATATCCTTTAGATGTTATAATAATGTGAATTGTAAAATGTGTATCCAACAAGTCTTAATTCTGAAATAAACTCTGCCAGTCTGTACATTATTCTGCTTATTACATGGCTCCACAACACATAAATAAATTACATTAAATTTGAGTTTAAATTATTTTACATTGTTAGAACAAATAGACAATAGACTAATTTACATTTAGTCATTTAGCAGACACTTTTATCCAAAGCGACTTACAAATGAGGACAATGGAAGCAATCAAAATCAACAAAAGAGCAATGTTATGCAAGTGCTATGACAAGTCTCAGTTAGCTTAACGCAGTACACGTAGCAAGGTTTTTTTTTTATTATATAATAAATAAAAAGAAAACAGATAGAATAGAAAAAGAATAGAGCAAGATAGTGTTAGAGGCCTTTTCTTTGCTTTTTGTTAATTGTATAATAAATAAAAAGAATACAAATAGATAATACAAAAACAATAGAGAAGCCAGTGTTAGTAAAAGAATAGAGTGCAAGTCTAAAAGGGGCAAGTTTTTTTTAAAGAATAGAATTAGAATAGAGAGTGCTAGACTCAGTGTTGTCGTTGTTGTACATAAATATGTGAGTGGTCAACATACCTATGTTTTTGTTTCAAATTAGAATACTTTTATTTTTCACTGAATTTGAATTTTTGCTCAAATTTATCATAAAACCATTCGATTTTGCCTTTCAGTTATATACTGTAATATACACTACACTTCAAAAGTTCAGGGTCAGTGAGTTTTTTTATTTTTATTTGAAAGAAATGAATATTTTTGTTCTGCAAGGACACATTAAATTGATTAAACGCGTCAGTAAAGACTTATGTTACAAAACAAGTTCTATTTCAAACATGCTGTTCTTCAAACAACAAAGAATCATAAAAAAACTAATTCTGTAATTAATAGCTCACCCTCATTCGTTCATCTTCAGAACACAAATTAAGATATTCTTGATGAAATCTGAGAGCTCTCTGGCCCTCCATAGACAGCAATGCAATGTCCATGTGACATCAGTGGTTCAACCTTGATTTTATGAAGCTACGAGAATACATTTTGTGCACAAAGAAAACAAAAAAAAACAACTCTATTCAAATTTTGTCTTCGACACGCATTCACAACAGTACCATGATGCTTTTTTTTTTTTTAAGTATAAAAATCATACCGACCCCAATCTGTAGTGTATATTATATCATTTTAGGTTAGTAATTTCACAGTTTTTGTTATTTTAATTTTTTCATGTGTATCTCAGGAGACGAGAATACGGGCCGCAGAGAAGGATCCTCACAGCAAGGCACAGAATATCTGTATCACTAACCAGTATGGAGGAGAGGAGGTGACGCACACACTAGCTGCAGACAGCAGAGAAGAGAGACAGCGCTGGATGGAGGCCTTCTGGCAGCAGTTCTATGATATGAGTGAGTACATGAATTCTAAACTTACTATAAAGCCATAAGCCACACAAAGATGTACATTACTGAGCAAAAAACCCTTAACTGTGTTAAAATCATTTTTATATCTGCCCTTGAGTGGCTTTCTGCTTTTGAGTAATATGCTGAAACACACAATGCTCACTTATATACATAAAAAAAATTTGAATACATAAATTATGCCAGGTTATATAATTCATTGGCCTGATTGTGAGTTCAATGCGCTTGCCAGAAAAGTTTGACTAAGCTGCTTGCTTCCTCTACAGGCCAGTGGAGGCAGTGCTGTGATAACCTGATGAAGATTGAGCTGCCTTCCCCACGCAAACCTGCCATAGTCACACCCAAGCAGGGCTCCTTGTACCATGAGATGGGTGAGTGTGTTCAGACACCTTTTTACACATTTACAGAGGCTGTAGCAGAGTTTGAAGCTCTAGATCAGGGGTGCCCAACCCTGCTCCTGGCGATCGACTGTCCTGCAAAGTTTAGCTCCAACCCTAATCAAACACACCTGAAGCAACTAATTAGGGTCTTCAGGATCACTTACAAATTAAAGGCAGGTGTGTTTGATTAGAGTTGGAGCTAAACTTTGCAGGACAGTCGATCGCCAGGAGCATGGTTGGGCACCCCTGCTCTAGATTGTCACAAAATAAAGCCAAGCGACACAATACAGGTAATAACAGAAATCATGCACAAGCACAGATATGCCTGTGAATCTAACATTAATGTGTGGATTGAACTGCATGTCCTCGTCCTCTGTCAGATCTGAGTCTTTCTCTTTATCAATTTATCTCCTTTAACTGCTGAATGGAAAGTCGGCTGTTTCTGACAAACTGACAGTCTTTTCTTTCTCTTTCCGTCTTATTTTCTCTGTGGTTTTTATGTCTGTCCCTTCACTGTTGTTTTCCTGTCTGTTTTTTTTCTCTCTTCTTTCACTTTGTTCCTATTGATTTTTCATACACTCTGGTATTTTCCTGGTTACATGCCTTACATTTGTAATCCAAACATCCATCCCATACATTCCCCCAACCACTGTATCATTATTTGGTTGATATATAAACACTCATTCCCGTGCCCTCCCCACAACCCTGCATTTGTTGGCCCCTCGTGTGTTTTGCTGGCCTCCCCCTCCTCAGTGGCCCCTGCATCCGGAGAGGGGCTTTTGCTGCAGGATAACGCTGTCTCTGCTGAGATCCGAGCTCTGCTCTCCTCCTATTACAATGACAGGTGAAGTAACTCTGATGAGAAGTTACCTGACCCCACCCTCTACTGGCCCACGTGATCCCAACCGTTTTTGTCGCCCATGTGACCAAAACTTTTACTTGATGTAAATTTCAAATATAGTTCTAACCTTAATATAAATTAAATGAATAATGCGCTAAATTATTATTATCGTTGTTGTTGTTGTTAGGTATTAGATGAAACCATAATAGATTGCTGTATATTCATGGTTTTAATTTATACTTCTTTTAAATTGTTTTTTATTTAATTTAATTTTCTTCTGAAAAAAAAAAAAATTATATATATATATATAT